GCAGCTGACGGAAAAAGAAAAAGAAAACAGACCTGAAAGATTTTTAAATGCTCCATACTCCAGAGTAATACTCAGTCATACTATTTAATGTTTAGGGATATTATGTCCTTTAAAACGGGGCTGCAAGGTGGCACGGTGGTTAGCATCGTTGCCTCGCAGCTAGAAAATCGTGTCCCGGTTATGACGCCCGGGATCTTTCTGCATGGAGTCTCCATGTTCTCCCCGTGCAGCGTAGGTTCTCTCCGGGTTCTTCCTCCCACAAGGTCCAGAAACATGTTGAGGTTAATTGGTGATTCTAAATTGTCTGTAGGTGTGAATGCTTGGTTGTCTGTCTCTAAGTGTGGCCCTGTGATAGACTGGTGAGGATTAAGCGGTGTATAGATAATGGATGGATGTCCTTTAAACAAGACTGTGTAACGTTGCTCAACAGCAGCCACTAGTGATCACAGATAGAGTGACTTTTGTTGTTTTTTTTCAGAGTCTTGAAATTATTAATTGGTTTTAAGCTACATGAATAAAATGAGCTTCTTTCTACTTGAGAATCTAGAGTTGCAGGAAATGCTGGAAAAAAATGGATATAATCAAATTTTTGATCTGGCAAATAGAGGCTGTCTTTGGGTCCTCTCCTTCTCTTTGAACTGAACCTTTTCTCACATGTGAGAAGTCATCTTACACTATTGAAGAGCTCCAAATGTGTTGAAATTGATACATCAAAGCATCTAATCCTACTTTTGAGGCAAAAAAAAAAAACCCTTTTCCTTCATTAATCACATTGAGACACAGATGCTGAAGGTTCCAGGACCGCAATAAAAACCTGCCTCGAGCTAATGAGAACTGAAGTGAGACAAAGAGAGACGGGAGGCTTTCAGTCAGTCTAGGGATGCACAGTTTTGCTGCGTGGATGTTTTCAGAGGTTTGAAAGTGTCTCACTTGCAGTTTCTTAACAGGACAGCCGCTGAAAATGTGCAGTATGCAGATGTCTGTTTTTATCAGAGAGAAAGGAACGTAATGAAAACGGGTGATATGTTAACGACGTACTTTGTGTTTCGATTATGATTATTGATCAAAATCTCCAAGCTGGATTTAGATTTTTACACTCAACATCAGATTTTCCCTTTAATTTGAGACTGATCTGTGTGCATGTAATTATAGTATAACAGTTTAAAAATCCCATATGAATGCTCGTCTTAAATTTATTGGTAGTAAAAGCAGAAAATGTTTTTGCTATGAGTGATGAAACAGGATCCTGCCCCTCACGAGAGGTTTTTCCATCTTTTTGACTCCAGAATTGTTCATCATTTATTGAGCTAAAATTGCACAATATCCTTATTTGATGCAATGAAAAGCTGAAATTCTTCAAACAATATGAATTGTCCAAATGAAATTAATCCAGAAGTCAAGGTCTTTAAAGAGGAGAGCCAGACTGATGTCCGTAAAAACGATGCAGCGATTTGTGACCTTTTCACCTCTGTCGTCTCCATGTACGTCCACTCCATTATAAGAAATACAAGTTTCAGTATAGTCAGCAAATTGTACCTAAAACTGAGAACTTTAATCTTTGCGAATATATTTTATTCTACTATTAAATGTTTTTCTTGTATAAAATTTCCCTCATAAAAGTAACTAAAAGCTGCAACTGCCAGATACACTGAATATACTATAGCACAGCATTGAATCTATCTATTATTAGAAACTCTATTCTTTACTTTGAACTGCAATATTGTAGGGCCCTCTCTGCCCGCCCACATTTACCACCTTCTGCTCGCTTCGTCTGTATGGTCGCTGCCGACTGTCAATCAAGCCAGCCACGCCCCTTGCCCCGCAAAATGTTGACGATTTTTTAAAAATTCAGTANCCTTCCTGGTTGCCGTGGCGTCGTAAGGCGGCGCTTCGTGGAGTGGACAGCCCGATTGGCTCGATGTCCGAGAGGAGCTGACGGAGCCTGTCGGGAGAAACACACCAGTTGGCCCGTTACAAGCCGTCGGCCCTATTCGAGCACATCGATCAACAAGTTTGCTCGGCTCGCTCCCTGACCTCTGCCCTCCTCCTCCTCCTCCAACTCATTTCTGGTCCTTGGACAAGCAACCAATCGAATTCTTGCTCTCCGAGACGAGAAAAAAACCCTCTTAACCAATCGCACCCTTCTACACTTCCTCCTACATCCCCTGCCTTGGCCATCTGTCTGCTGAACAAGCCAAGATCTGTGTGTGTGGAAGTGATATGATGACATTTTTTAAAAAGACCAGTGATTTATGACTCTTGTTTTTCTAACCCGATACTCTCTGATTTTCATCTTTTTTCCCCCCTCCGTTAAAAATTCTTCTCCCCAGTTTCATGACAAGCGTTGCTAGCGTGATTCACGTCATACAGAGTGATGCCTAAGACAGTAAGTCAAGCACACGGACAGGGCTGAAGAGATCCCGCTCTCTTCTAGTCGCGAATTTTCATTTTGCAGGCTGGCAAAGGCATAACCCGACCTCCTCTTGCCTCTGATTGGCTTACATCCCCCCCCCCCATCACCTCAACCAATCCCAACTCTCCTTCCTTCACCTCATGGGTTCCCCCCTTGGCATCCCGCAAAAAGAAAATCCGCATCCTGGTCACCCCTGTACTACCTGGAGGCTGGTCCACAGACTTGGACTGCTCCAGTAGATGCTCCTTGGCTTTGGCAGACTGGGACAAGACTGTGGCTAGAAGCTGCAAATACACACAGACACATATATTTATGAGCACATGCAGGCATTCACACGATCAGGCATGTAGCAACTTACATTTCGTTGCATTAAAGCAGCCTTCATTCATTTTTTGACCACTGGGGAGCAGTGAGACAAGCTGAAAGTACAACATATCGTCACAAGTTGGAATAATGGACATTTTTACCTAATAGTGGCGTATTGTCACATCCAAAAAAGAAAAATAACACATGGCAAAATTAGCAGTCATTTGTGTTTCTGGATAGATAGTGCAATAAATCAACTACTGACCACTTTCTAACCTTTTTTTCTATTTGTACACAAACTCCACCATGTTGCTAACTTTCTGTTTCAGAGTACAGTGAACCCTCGTTTATCGCGGGGTTACGTTCCAAAAAGAACCCGCGATAGGCGTCCAGAAGTTAAACTTTTTCTGCGACAGTTACCATCTTCCTTTGCCTTTTTGGCTTTTTGGTAACTTCATCGGTGCAGAATGTTTCGCCGACGTTGTGGGTTTTGTCGTGGAGAAAATTTTCAAACATGTAAAATTGCCAAACTGGACGCATTCTGTACTGGACAGAGATGAGGGACGGAGGAGATTGATTGACCTACAGCCATTCAGGACACAGAACACAATGCACGTTCATACACTGTAAAAAAAAAAAAACTGCACTAAAAAAAGCCGCAAAAGGTGAAGCGCGTTATAGCGAGGGCTCACTGTACAGTCAGAGTTATGAGAACACTAACAGTCAATCAAATTAGTGAAAGTTGCAGCTGACGGAAAAAGAAAAAGAAAACAGACCTGAAAGATTTTTAAATGCTCCATACTCCAGAGTAATACTCAGTCATACTATTTAATGTTTAGGGATATTATGTCCTTTAAAACGGGGCTGCAAGGTGGCACGGTGGTTAGCATCGTTGCCTCGCAGCTAGAAAATCGTGTCCCGGTTATGACGCCCGGGATCTTTCTGCATGGAGTCTCCATGTTCTCCCCGTGCAGCGTAGGTTCTCTCCGGGTTCTTCCTCCCACAAGGTCCAGAAACATGTTGAGGTTAATTGGTGATTCTAAATTGTCTGTAGGTGTGAATGCTTGGTTGTCTGTCTCTAAGTGTGGCCCTGTGATAGACTGGTGAGGATTAAGCGGTGTATAGATAATGGATGGATGTCCTTTAAACAAGACTGTGTAACGTTGCTCAACAGCAGCCACTAGTGATCACAGATAGAGTGACTTTTGTTGTTTTTTTTCAGAGTCTTGAAATTATTAATTGGTTTTAAGCTACATGAATAAAATGAGCTTCTTTCTACTTGAGAATCTAGAGTTGCAGGAAATGCTGGAAAAAAATGGATATAATCAAATTTTTGATCTGGCAAATAGAGGCTGTCTTTGGGTCCTCTCCTTCTCTTTGAACTGAACCTTTTCTCACATGTGAGAAGTCATCTTACACTATTGAAGAGCTCCAAATGTGTTGAAATTGATACATCAAAGCATCTAATCCTACTTTTGAGGCAAAAAAAAAAAACCCTTTTCCTTCATTAATCACATTGAGACACAGATGCTGAAGGTTCCAGGACCGCAATAAAAATCTGCCTCGAGCTAATGAGAACTGAAGTGAGACAAAGAGAGACGGGAGGCTTTCAGTCAGTCTAGGGATGCACAGTTTTGCTGCGTGGATGTTTTCAGAGGTTTGAAAGTGTCTCACTTGCAGTTTCTTAACAGGACAGCCGCTGAAAATGTGCAGTATGCAGATGTCTGTTTTTATCAGAGAGAAAGGAACGTAATGTAAACGGGTGATATGTTAACGGTCGATGCCGACTGTCAATCAAGCCAGCCACGCCCCTTGCCCCGCAAAATGTTGACGATTTTTTAAAAATTCAGCATTGGTTTATTTTCAGATTGGCCACCCGATCTCTGGATTTGACCATGAAAACTAACAAAAACAAAATCCTGAGCTGTAGGAATGCAGTATTTGGTGATCTGGTCTATGGGAGCCAGGGCTTTTTGGAGCCAGCAGCTAGTGGACGTAGTGATGCTGCAGGTTTTTGACTCTTCCGGGTTGGCTTCATTTTTCAGGGCCGGTTGCTACGTCCATCTTTTATACAGTCTATGGTGCAGACTACTTTTTGAGGTTTCAGGATTAGAGTTAGAATGTGGTTACGGTTAAGCTAACAGGCATCATGTAGTGCGTCTGTGTGTGTGTGAGCGTCCTACCTTCACTCCTTCAGCCTGTGCATGAAGGATGTGTGCAGCACTGCCGGCACTCTGACCGCTGCCCGACGACCTCACGCTGGTCACGCTGCCCGAACTACCCACGCTGCTGCGGTCTCCACCTGCAACGAACACACACACACACACACACACACACACGCACAAGAACGTACACATGCATTCGCACATACATGCAACCACCCAAACAATATGCATCGTTTTTTTTTTCATACAAATGCACACATGCAACAAACAGATGGATGCATACAGGCACACACACACAAACACACACACACCCGCAAACACACACACACACACACACACACATTGAGTGGTTTAGCTGATATCCAAAGCAACATGGTCAGAGATGTGACTCTCCTTTGAAATGCACTGGGCAGCGTGTGGTTGGATGGACAGGACGGACAGACGGTTGACAGTCGACTAAGTGACGAACACAAAAGTGGAATAAAGACGGTTTCACACACGTCACGGACGCACACACACACACATCATCTCATCATGTCCTCTTTCTCTCTCCTTTTGTCTCCACACGACACACAGACTGTAGACCGATGCAGATGGCTGCAGTCCTACACATAAGGCCACTGAGTTCAGCTAAGCTTCAGATGGAGGGATAAGCAGGACATGGGAGACTGTCAGAAGCAGGTCAAAGAGTATCTGACAGCCTGCAGACGACATCATCTCTAACAAGCGAATAGGAGGATTCTGCTCTTGGACACATTTACCTACCATGGGCACTCGCAAATGGCAGTGCCTGGTAGAAACGGTATTTATTTTTTTTGAATGGACGTCAGATACTGTTTGACCCCTGGTCAGACTTTAAGGAGTCGGGGGTTGAGGGCTCAGCGCAGCGCGGCTTAGTTACCTGCCACGGGTTTGCGCAGTACCCAGATCTCTTCGTTGGAGCCTCCATGGGGCCCGCTGGATGGGGTGGGAGAACTGTGAGGACTTGCCTCTGAGCCGCGGCAACCTTCAACACAGAACACCACCGTTAGCCGCTAGCCGACCCTAAAGTGGCCAAGGAACCTGCTGCTGCTGTTGCTATCTAAGATTTGCATTTAAGGCAGAAAGTATTTTGGCCATGTGGGGGCACTGGTACAGAGTTATTGTTGTATTAGCAACCTGTTGCTTAGCAACCTATTAGTTCAGTATTGGCAGTATTTTACATTTGTGTTTGTAAATTATTTGGCTCTTCAGCTTCTAGTTGTTCACAAGCTAGCTGCTAACTTTGCTGTAAAGCCAAAACAATTGGCTAAAAAAGGCTAAATAGCGCCACAGAGATAAATGGAACTGCAAATCCTTGTTCCTGTTCGTATAAAATATTCATTAGTGCAGCTTCAGTATTAGTTCAAAACCATTACTAACTTTAAATATCAATAAATCAGATTTTGACTCCATTATAAAACCACAAATGTAACTGTGACTTTGAAGATAAATTTTAAATCACAAATGTGCTGTACTAATAAAAAACACCTATATGAGACATTGCACATGGCATTTAGCACTTACAGTTGGTTTTTGATTTTGTCACATACTTAGTGTCATATAAGGTTAGTGTATCACTTCAAAGAGGTTAAATTAAATTTTACATTTCACTAGATTTAAAATGGTCTACACTGGACATTCCTAATGCAACTGTCAGAACTGTTTCGTACAAAATTTCATGACCTTCACTTATTACCAAGGTCACAATTTACATTTCAGTTGGTAACCTTTAAAAGCAGTGCTAATTGTTGATATTTTTATAGATTTCAGTTGAAACCCATCAGTCATAATGGCTGTGAGTGCTCCTACTGTTACTTAATAAAACACTGGCAACTACCAAAACTTTAAAGCGCCTCGATCTATAAAATCACTTGTAATGGCCGGCTTTGCATTGTAATCTGCCTTAGGTTCCCCCCTGATATTTTTAGAAAGGAAAGGGTAACGTGGGGTTAATTAAATTAATTCCAAACTTGACAAAGATAGGAAGTACAGACGGGCCAGTAGGAGAGAGGGATGATAGAGTAAAGGCGGATAAGGGAGGTTTTAAAGGATATATATAAATTTTAAGCTTACGTACACGCTTCACTCTCACGTACATGCTCGCACACACACACACACACACACACACACAGAAAAAAATACAGCATATATATATATAGATATATGAAAACATTTATATACCCATAGTACATAAATAAATCCATAACATGAATATCTGTGTATATACACATATATGCCATAATGCACATACACATACATATATAATGCATCCGTAAGTGTGTGATTATATATGTCGGGCTTTTCAGAATGGGGCTGCTGTAGTGCATTTGGAGAGTGCCATAAACCATTATAACCATCTTAGTAAGGGTTTATTAATGGTTTATCTGTGTGACCAACAGTGCTCCAGAGAAACACACACATCAAAAAGTTTCCTTTTGCTTTCATGTGATGTCACAGCTCCTTCTTGTGGCCATTTTGCATCCCTCCAAGTGACCTCAGATACTGATCAGTCTGTTTTCAAAGACCTTCAATTGCTTTGGTTTAGAATGAATGACTGTAAAAATTTGCTGTTTTCAACCAATGCGATCAAGGCTCAGACAAACGTGCTGAGCCGATGTACTTATCGTGCTGAAGTCCCAAATTTGGACGTATTGTGTGACGGGGAATTGGGTCTAAAGGGATTTATTCTCCTGGAGGTAACAAAATGGTGTCCAGTGAAGGTTCCCATTCACAAAGTAGAAAGTACAGAGTTCAGCCAGTGAATGCCTTACCTGCACAACGTAGTGGGTGACATTTTCTAAACAATGCTTTCGGGTCTCTTATGCAACACTTGACATTTTGCACTTTGGAACTAGCACATTTTTGCATGTAGTGCATAATGTCAGCATGTTTTTCTTATATCATGTCACGTCATTATGAATAAATTAACATTGTCTTAATGAATACTGAATGAAAATATCACCCATTTTAATTTGAGAAGAGCTTTTCTTTTGAAGCAACATCTCTGACTAAACTTCTGACAAATTAAAACAAAAACTTTCCTTTTTTACAGAACACAAATGTGTCTTTTCCCCTCAGAGTGATAATGACAATTTCACTAAGACTCACTGGTGTCGTTTCAAATTACAGTAAACTGCGTTTCAGCACCTTCGTAACAGATTCCACCTCTCCAAAGCTTTGTATAGACACTGACTTATTTATACCCATCTTTCACCACCATTCACACACACACACACATTGAGGGTATAAGAGCAAGGTGGGTAAAAGGGATGTCAAAATGATCAGATGTGACAATAACACGAGCACAGAACAGAAAACACACTCTGGTCAGGAAGGAGTAGTGGTCTGGGATGTATCTGTATTAGAAACTAGCAGGGTTGTCCTGGCGGTTGGGACACTGGTGATACAGACATATAGAGGGAAGAACAAAAAGGAAAGAAGGGGAAAAGTAGGAACAACAAAAAACACAACTAAATATATATATTTTTAAAAACAACGAAACCCAAAATAACCAAACAAGGAACCAAGACATTCAACTGAAGCACAAACCAACCGAGGTGAACAGAGGTCTGTGGTAAAAATGGTCAATTTTCATTTTTTCTTCCCACTTAAATAGATCTCTCTTCCTGGAAAAGAGAGAATTATAAACAATTCCTATTTTTTTTCATTATTGTTTGATATTGTTCACACTACTTCAGCAGTACTTTATCGGCTGATCCTCTCCTCTTCTACTCAAATGCAAAAAAAAAGCATTGAAATAATTTGCTTTTTGTGCCTGACTTTGGGTTAACATTAATTTAGAAGGCAGTGATGATCTTTGGGCTCAGGGGTCAAAAACAGATTAGTGGCTCGAGCTGAACCCTCTGAAACCCAAAATTAGCTGGCAGGGTTTAAAGCCATGTTATCGTGGAAAGTCCGTCATTTATCAAAGCCAGAAACTGTAAAAACACAAAGAATCATTGGCTTTTCCACTCCTTAACTCCTGAAACAAATGTGCAACAACCAAATCTGAGATTGAAATTCTAATAAATGACTGTGAAGCTATTAGCTGCGATCAAAAGTCAAAAGACAAAAATACAAGGACTTATTCGCTGAACTGGGCTGAACTGCAGGCTGTGTTTCCACAGAGCAGATAGGAGACAAGTATGGAAACAGATTGAAAATGTAAACAGGAAAATATAAAGTATGTAGAGATGCCACTTTGTTTTTCCAGTATTAGTAACACCTTTGGGCTCTTGGACAAATGTTGCAGATGTTGACTCCATTTTTTTATTTTAAAAAATACATTTTAAATAAATATATTTAACTTTTTTTTCACAATTAATGGTAATTATTTCTCTCTCCAATGAGCCATGGTTATGCTGTCTGCATAGAGGTGCAAGACTTTATATTGCAGTAAGAAATGAAATCACAGTTAGTACAAATGTGACAGGAGCAAAGAAAAGCCAGAAATTGCTTGAGGTTCAGAGGGTTATAATACAAAAACCAATGCTATGTTACATGAATGCATTGCGTCTTGTTAGTCTCTAATGTATGCTGGGTTGTGGCTTTTCTTAGACACTCTGGTATCTTTGATGATGACAGCTTTAGTGACCTAAAATCCTGAACTGACTTTGTGCTACGTGACTAAAATTAGCTTCAGTTGACTGGAGTAGGGCTAACCCAGATATGCACGTAACCCAGGAAAAGCAAAATGGGTTCAATCAGATTTGTGATCTGGTTAAGAGATGTGCATGTATACGGCCTAGAGTAAACAAAACTGCAGTAAGTTAACTTGAAATGACAACTAAAGTCTTTAATTTATACATACAGTTTTTCTTTTTTTGCATGCATCACTTTTGTAGTTCAATAACCAGAAAATATTTCTCTGTCATGTTTCATCTTTGATCACACATTACCCACAAAGTGAGCTACACTAGTGATACCAGAAGTAGCCTAAACACTTCTCTCCAACAGCTAACTTTTGCTCTCAGTAATGAAGATGAGGACGGCAACAACAGAAAAAGAAAAGTTAGACAGCATGAGCAACATATAAAATTACATAAATAATAATCCATAACAGAAAACTTTAATGGATGCCTTCTTAAAAACACCGATTAGAATCTTACTTGGCCAATCAGAAATTTAATTTTTACTTGCAACTAGTTAAAGAAAAACAGCAGAGGAAAGCATCCCTTGAAGCTTTGTTAATAATAATAATAATAATAATAATAATAATAATAATAATAATAATAATGAAAAGTGGGCGTGTACCTGGGGCAGTGGGTGTGTCTCCCTGTGGGGTTGTCACGGGCGACCTGTTATAGCCAAAGGAAGTGAAAAGTGGAAGCAGTGGCTGATGGGAATGTGGTGGAGGAGGAGGCGGTGGAGGCAGGATATGGATCTGATGGAACGTGGTGTCGTTGCCGTTGACTACCGCGTTGGCAGGGGCAACCGTCGCCGGGGGAGCCAGCGGTATCTTTTGAAACTGTTGAGTGCAAATGACTGTGCTGGCCAAACCTAGATAACACCCACCGTGACGACACACACACAACCAGCCAACAGTGAACCACCGCCACGTAACAAACAAACGACAAAACAGAGAATTACACATAAGAAAAAAGGGGGGAAAAAAAGAAAATTAAAAACAAAGACTGAAGTTACAAATCAAACCAAGAGAAAGAGGGAGGTGAAGGACGCAGCTGATTTACATGGTGGGAGGATAAGGTGGAGGCGAGGACAAACGAATGTGGGTGTTGTGGGAAATGAAAAGTGTGGAGAGGTGGAAGGTGAAAGTGGAGATGGTGTGAGGGACTAATAATCAAGATCGGTCCTTCTGTTGGAATCAGACAAACTACTGACTGATTACACCCAATCTACAAGTCCTGTTGCATGTCATTAGCTACTAGCAAGCAACAGTATTCACATCTGACAGTGATGTTTAAGGATCTGACGTCAAAGATCGGGTTGGGGTCAGATCATAGACTGTATAAAAGATGGACGTAGCAACCGGCCCTGAAAAATGAAGCCAACCCGGAAGTGTCAAAAACCT